GTAGTTCTAATTTTGTATTTATTTTATTATTTCTTATTTTGATTTAATAAGAAATATTTAAAGATTTAAAGAAAATATAAAAAAATAACTTTATGCAGTCTCTCTACACCCTAGTAACATTTCAGTTTAGAATTACAAAATAACACCCACCAGCATAATGCAGTAGAAAAGTCGTGTTCCAGGCCAGACAGAATATAATAGATACTTTGTGGTGACTTGCTTGGACTAATTTTAGAATCACTTTTATATTTTTATGGCAGGCGTTACCAGGTGACACTGTTACACACAATCTTCCAAGTTCTATTTTTTTTTTTAAGCATGTAAGCAAATGTTCACTGTTGGAGAGGCATGCTGCGTTGGTGTCAATTTCGGGTTCTGTGTGGTTCTGTGTAAAAACGGTGGGAGATGGGCAAGCAGCTAGAAAATTTGGTCTCTGATTAGTGTCAATTCTTGAGGCAGAGTTGCTCCCTGGGAACAGGGCATTGGTATTAGGATGAGATTCCTGAAATAAGGGATTGCCTGCATGCTGTTTAATCACCTCTCTTGAAGAACTGGTATATATGTGTAAATAAAATAAGTTAAACTTAGTATATACCCAGATTCCACATCACAGATTTCACCTGGGGAAAGGGAGCCACCAAAGAAGTGGGAAACAACAACAACAAGGGGGGCGGGATGGGGTAAGGGAGAGGAAATGAATAAGACAAAAAGGATTAAAAACAGAGTAAAGGACAAAAGAGTGAAGACAAAAGGGGTGTGTGTGTGCCACCAAATGAAATGAATAGGCAGCAGGTTTAAAACAAAGAAAAGGAAGTGTTTCTTCACACAATGCACAGTCAACCATGTAATGCTGACGAGAGAGAGCGCTCCCGTTGACATAATAAAACCAGCTCAATGAGCAGCGGAGCTATGTCAGCGGGAGAGTGTTTCCCGCCGACGTAGCGTTGTGTACATGAGCACTTATGCAGGCAAAACTTATGTTGCTCAGAGGTGTTCTTTTTCACACCCTGAGTGACAAAAGTTTTGCCGACATAAGTGCTAATGTAGCCCTGGCCTCAGTTCTATATCTTTCTTCAGCATAAACTGCCATTGTATGAATTGGGTTATGGTTTTATGATGTGGACAAATGTAAACTTTGGGTTAACTCATATTGTTAGTGACATCTGATAGCTCTGAGACCAGACCTTCAGCAGTGAAGGCAATTGCATTCGCCTACTTGGTTAGAGAAGTAATATTAACCCATCAATGCTTGTTGAACAAATCTTGCCCTCCTCTTTAGTTTTTAAGGGTTAAAAGCCAACAAGAGCAGTTCTGACCCATTCAGTGCAAGTATCATCCTAGGCATCTTAAAGAAGTAAAAACAGGCTAAAAGAGGGAGAATTGGTTTATTCTGCATTGTTAGAACTTGTTTTATTTGATAAAATGTACATATTTAACAATTTTTAGTGGTACCACTTTTGTTTTTGTCACTAGTTTCTTCTTTTAACCTATATAAAAACCAGAGTATCCACCTTAAAAAAAAAAAAAAGTGATTCACAAACTGTTTTCTGAAGTTTTCATGTAACCCAGAAATAACCCTGGCGTGCTGCCCATGCTGACCAAAGTTAATTAAGTACCCGTTAGCTCCATGCTTTTGAATTTCTCACAGAGGAGTTGTAAACCCAAACTAACAACACTGATTTAAGCTCTGTAACCCTGTATATAAACAAATTTAATTTTTTTTAAAATAAATATATGAATGGAGGAAGGTTCTGAATCTTCATCATGGTTGCTTGATTTGGAAAACTGTAAGTACTACTGATTTGTTTTATAGGGCAGGGGTTCTCAACCTTTTTCTCTCTGAGGCCCCCCTCGACATGCTATTAAAAACTCCAGGGCCCAGGGAGGGCTGGGGCCTTGGGCATAGGTGTAGTTTGACTTCTATTTTGGGGGCCGGGGGCCAGCAGGGCTTGAGCCACCTAAACATGGAGGGGTCCAGAGAGGGAGTGCCACTTCCACCCTCTGACTCACCTCAGCAGGCCACCCAGCCTGTCTGTGTTGGGGGAGGGGAGGCGCAACCAAAAATTAAAACTCAAATGTGGGGGGCTTAGCTCAAAAATTCTGAAAATTTTAGGGTGCAGGCAGGGAAGTAGCTCGATGCAGGTAAGGGGTAGCTGGGGTTGTGTGCACATGGGGTGGCTGTGGGTGCAGGGAGGGGGTAGCTAGGAGCTGTGTGCGGACAGGGGATAGCTCAGGGTGCAGGGAGGGTGTAGCTTCAGGGTATAGGGAGAGAGGTATTAGGGGTTGTGTGCTGGGAGGACTCCCCTGCGGTCCCTGTTTCCAGAGGGGTCTGCCAGCCATGGAACTGGGTCTCCTAATCTGGGCGGCTCTTACTGGCTGCCTCTGTGGGAGCAAAGGGGGCTGGGAGCTGAGGAGCAGCTTCAACCTGGGGCACCAGCAGGAGAAGTGGGAAAGCTGCCACTGCGTGCTCCGTGGCACAGCCAGAGCAGGAGCTATCCCGCACTGCCTGGCTCTGGCTTCCAGCCTTCAACCTGGCCAGGGGGTGGGGAGAGGTGACTGGGAGGGGGAGGTGTGGAGCTGCCCCCAGGACTGTTGAGCTCCTGCGCTGCAATTTGGGGGAGTGGTGCAATGCCCTCCATGAGCCCAACTTTGCCCAGGGGCTCAGGGCTTCAGCCCCACAGGGGCTTCAGCCACATGGCCCCACAGCCCCCTTGAAAGGGCTCACAGACCCCCGGTTGTGAACTGCTGTAGAGGTTGTGAATAGTTAAATTATTCCGCTTGGACTTTTGAAGTTCAAAGCTCTTTAAGTACTTTCAGAAACAGACTGATTGGTCATGTGAAATCTTGTCACAATTTAGTAGTTACATAGTTTTGTTTTGCAATGCTACTGTGGACCTTGCTGTTTGTTCTTAAGTGTAAGTAGCTTTGAGCTTCAGTTTTTGCAGGGAAGGTATGTGTTCCATTCTCTGTATGCTAAAGCTTTGTTCTAATTTCGTGCATTGTAGGTCATTGCAAGTAATCAGAGTAATTGACATTTCTTTGGGCTTGCATTAAAAGTAAATTGCTTTCATTTGGGGCATGCAGATACTTAAAACATGTTTCTATATTGACATTTATTTGTTTTTTGTAGTGAGTGTAACTTCAGCATTCCCTTAACAATTAGATGAAGGATATAAAAGCAAAGAGATTATACAAGTTAATACATGCCTTGAAGTTCTGTACATGAACTTTTCTTAAGCTGTAAATTTTTGGGGAAATGTTTCAGGAATATATCCTTTTCCACTGAATATAAAGTTCATACTTTTTCAAATACTTCCCTCATGTTCAGCTCAATGTTTTAAAGTTATGGGAATTTTTTTAATAAGTTGTCAAGCTTCCTGAAGAGTTTCTGTAAATAAAGTATGACTGTTGCATCAATGGAAGAAAAGTCTACTGCATGTGTCTGGAAATTTTTTTGAATGCCGTAAAGTATTTTGTCACTGAAGACTGATTTCTGGTTGTTCTTTCAAACTGAGATATTACTTCAGGAATTTAAAGTATAATTTTGAGTAATGCCTTCTTGCAGTTTAATCACTCCCTTTTTGAGGATTGAGTTCACAAACCTTTCCCCTGAAATTTAAACACATTATTTACAAATGATTAAATAATAGGGGTTTCTTTGTCAGGGAAAATTATACTGTTACTGTTTTTTTTTTTTTTTTTTTTTAAATGTTGTCCTCAAAACCTAGGTTAGCACAAGTAGGTACTCTGTATACAGATGTTGCTGGTTTTTTTTCTGTATGTAACTTTTACATTTTTCACTCCTGCTTGTTGTCAAAGAAGTGTGACTTGCACCATATTGCAATTTAAACTCATACTATGTGCAGCTTACGTCCAGTGGGTAATTTATACCACAATTTATGTCACAACTGAGTTTGGCACAGAAACTTCAGGCTACATCAGTTAACAGTCTTCTTTTTAAAGGAAAAAGGGTAGTATGATCCTGGTCAGACACAGCAGATGATAAAACATTTTATTCTTACACTGCAAGTTTATTTCCATATTTTATTTATATTTCTGTGGAGCATATATCACAGCTGGGTTAACTGTAAGGGGAGGAGAAGTGAGAGATGTTGGTGGTGTGATGGCACAATATTGTTGCTGATAGGTCTTGCATGAAATTGTTATTTTATTAATGCACCAATATAACTAGGCTAGATGTCACATATAATTCACTTCTGCCCCTGCAGGTTTCAAAGCCGAACAAGTAGACAACACAAACTGTCAAAAATAACATTTGAATATAACAATTAATAATATGTAGAAAACACTTTTGGTTTTTGCAATTTCATTGCCATTTTTATGAGTCTCATAAAGGTAATGACTGAATACTTCAAATCCTTAATATAGAAAGACAGAGATGATTTGGGAAAAGTAGAACTTTCCCAAGCCCACCTGCACTGTAGATTTAAGATGTGTGTATCATCAACAGAACATAGTTCCTGTGGCACTGTTGTATTACACGATGACTTCTCTATTTCACTAACAGAGTGTAATAAATCTTCTGGGGGATTTTACTATTGCAACATGAGAAAAACACTATTTTCTTCATTTAAAAAAAACAAAACAAAAAAAATCTAAAAACATACATGTTGCATGATAGAAGGTGGTTTTGTTTTTGTTTATTTACAGTGTGAAAAATCACCATGTAAAACTGAATACAGTTTGGTTTTGGATCCTTAGTGTGGTTAAGTAATACATTTCTGTCATGATTCACCACCACTAACAACATTTTAACAATCCTTCTGTGAGATATTCAGGCACCTGGCTTGCACAACATGAGGGTGAAAGTAATATAATATTGGTCATTTTCACTCTGATATTCCTGTTGGGCCATAGGGAAAGCATTGTGTTGAGCATAATTATTCACTAACTGAATATTTTGACACTATATTGTACTATAAAATTGTAGTGCTTGTTGTATTTTTTGTTTACATTTCTGAATTCTTTTTTTATTTCAGAAGAAAAGCTAAAACTGAAGCTCCTCTTCCTCCATCTGAAACAAAAAAACTTTGAAGTTTCTTCATTTGATGATACAGAACCAACTAATTACACCATGGAACAAAAAGAGAATATAACTGATAAAGACATAGAATTGTCTGTGGTCCTTCCAGGGGATGTGATCAAATCTACTACTGTTAATGGCAGGTATGGGTAGAAATTTTTTTTGAGAATGACATCCAGTTTCTACTGTCTGCGGTTACACTTTCCGGACAAACTTACACAGTCCTTAAATCCATACTCAAACTTGCACCTCTGAAGAAAATAAGTTGTTTAATTAGTGCTCTGATACTAATCACTTGTTAATGGGGAAAAATTCAAGTATATAGTTATATATTTCAGTACTCTTCTCCTCCCCCTTCTCCCCCCCAAAAAAGTGTGTTTTTCCAGACTTTAAGATTTAAAAACTTACTTATGGCAAGGAGTGTTAAGAACCAAATTAGCAAGAATGGAAGGGGTGAAATAATTTTATAAGTCATTGTGTGTGTTGCGTAAGAAGGCACCCAAGGTAGAGGGACTGTAGCTGCCCATCTCCACAAATGGATTCATTCTTACTCCTAGTTAAATCAATTATTCAAGGGTGAGTAACCTGTTATTTTATTCACATAGGAAGTGATGCCTTCAAGATTTTCTCACCAATCTCATTACTACTTCTAGATTGCAATGAATCCTAGAAACTGTGTCCTAAATGATGATGGGTGCCAAAAAGATTTTGATGCTTTCAAACTCTCTAAATTTTAAAAGAAATAGATGCTTTCTATCCAAGCCTCTGTTATATTAATATTTTAATTGAATCTCTTAAAGTAAAGCCAATCAGAGAATAGAACATACTGTGACTGCAAGCCAGTAAATTTAAGTGAGGCTTTTCTTTGTGTACTGAGCCCACTCCAATTCAGAAAGCTCTGAAAACTAGCTGTTGTGGTGGAGTCAGAAATCCTACTATCCTAAAGCAAAGTGGAAAATGTATATAACATCTCAGTTCAACGTGGCAGACTTTACAAGAAAAGATAAATCTGTTGGTTGCATGATTTGCAGCAGGTTAAATGCCAGCTCGTTGCTTTCACAGTGTGGCAGATGAAATAAAGAACCCACATGTATATTTTGTTCTTCTTTGCTTGCCTCTGTGTTGTCCCTGTGTTTGTTTTTAATTATGTAACCTAAACTAGTAAGCAGCTGTATCCCCCTCATTACTTAATAAGCAATTTATCCTTGTATGGTTTGCTCCCTCATGTCTGCAGACTTTCCCCTTCAATAGAAAGGGCAAGCCTTTCACTTAGCAGAGTTATATTTGCCCTTTATTCACTAGGGTCTGGTAATTGACAGAGTATCATAGCGCTTTTCTAGGCCCCAGATGATCTTAAAGAGAACTTTGATTTGAGGATAGTGTTTCTGAAAAAGGATACATCTTCTGAAATCATTTACTGAGGCAGTGAGAATGCCAAGATTCTTTGGTAAAGGAATTTTGCTTGTTCTCGCACCTAACTGAACTGTGGCTTGTATAATTTGTCAGTGTTCAGAAAGGTGGCTGCACAAGTTTATCAGATAAAATGTGAGCATACATGTGTCATTTAAGAACATAAAGTATACTGATTCTCTTGGCAGTTTTGTTATCCCATGAATTAGTGCTTTTAGTGGTGATTTCGCTGCTTAGTATGTGTGGTTTTTTTTTTTTTTTTTTACTGTTCTTGAAAGTGAGCAGCTGTTAGTGTTTGCTAGACCCATTCATAGTGCAGGGAGATACTGTGCAGGTTTCACCATTCTGCTCTGCAGATACACTTCTAACAACTGTATTTTTCTAGTCTTGGGTCTGTCTTGAGCAGAGATTGCTAATCATGTGTCCAGTTGTATGCTGGCATTGTTAGTCTGTGGAAAAACAGCAAGATCTACCTGGTTCTAAATATGTTATAGACAAATTACTTGTCAGTTTTTGTCTTATTCATTCCTCTGTTTAGACCCAAGAACAGATTTAAAATTCCTGAGCTGAAATCTAGTGTAGTATAGAAATTTAAACTGAGCACAGGAAAGAAAATAGGGAAGTTATATTTTCTTACAACCAACTGCATTTCTTCACTTTGCCCGAGTGTCAGAATGCCATAGAATGAATCCTCTGTGCAGTTTTCTGTGTTCTGCTGCACCACTTTGCTGAATGTGCAGTTAAGCTGAGCTTAGTGAGTTACAAATGGTTCCAGAAGAGCTGTGCTGAATCTGTGTTCTTTACATCCTTGGTGGATTTTTTTTTTTAAATCAGTTTCTGTGTACTTCCAGTCATTTAGGATATTCTTCCTAGTAATTTGTTGCTTTACTCTGTAGTTAGTGAATAACATGCTTTGCATGTTTTGCTGCCCCAGTTTTCAAAAACTGTTGTATTTATAATCATTAACAAATTATGTTTTTACCTTAAAAGTATGTTCTTTGTGTGTTTTGGGAGGGGGGAAAGGAGGAGTAAAGTGCAAAAGGATATAGGCTTAAGTAATTAGTCATATGGAAATGAAATAGATTTTTCCCAACCTGGAAGAATTTTGATGACTACTGACACAGTGCTGCCAACTTTCATGATGTTATCGTGAGCCTCATGGTATTTGTTGTTCTGAAAGTCCAAACCCCTGGAGTTAAGTGATTGAGAAGTTTAGCTGTTCTTGTTTTGTTTTGTTTTTAAAATACATTTCTAGTTCTCATTGTTTGGGAGAAAAGCTTGGAAATGTTACCCAATTGTACCCTAAAGATTCAAAATCCAGAAGATAGATAAAGGGTCTCCACAGGATTTTAAACCAGTCCAGTGATTCTTCCCCCCTCCGGGCCTGACTTATGATTTTTGAATGTTTGGGCTTGGCAGTACTGATAACCTTTTAACTACTAACATTAGTTCCCTCAGAAGAGAAGTTCATTAGGTTGTTAAAAGTAGACTGTGTGAGTACTTCATTTGAATTCTGTAAACCTTTTTACAAGAAACCTGGCTACAAACTATTTCTACAGTTCTCCGTATAAGAGCAGTCAGTTACACAGAGCAAAAGTTACTTAACATTAACCATTGTAGTTTCCGTACTGTTAAAAGAAATGGAAAAAAAATCGTTTGAGTGCCCTTCCAACCTTCCAGTAATACTATATGATCTTGGCCACTTATGTTGGCTAGAGAATTCTTGTTAATCTTCCCAGTCAGGGCTAAAGATGAGGAGATTAGAGCTTGAACAGTGAGTAGTTCTGTGTGTGTGTGTGTGTGTGTGTGTGTGTGTATAAAATTAAATTATGTTGTGATGAGAGGTTCCCAAATATTTATTGCTCAGCATGTTGTAAACATACATTACATCTTTTTTCATTGCTTTAAAAGACATCTGGAGGCAGAAATAATTACTGTTCATTGCAAAATATAAAAACATTATTCAGAGAAACAGGTAAACTGGAGGCTTATGGAAAGGTATTTTAAGTGTGCAAATATGTTTTTGTAATCACTAATCACAAATGGTAATTTGGGAAAATTTATGTGACTTAACAACATAGAGGATGTGCAAAGAGCAACCCAGGATATACAGGGATGGCAAAGCCTTGTTTGTGTCCTTTGTGTTATTTGACGGCACAAGAAGGTTTCAGATTCAGAATAATTCACTGAATAATTAACTGTAAATACGTTTACTTTTTTAACTAATACCGCTAGTCAGATTAACATATCAACTATCATTTTCTTGTGGCTGTGTCATGTCTTATGGAAGGTTGATTATAAAAATATTTCGATCAAACAAAATTTAGCAGAAAATGCTACTTTAAAAATTACTCCAGCGTGTCATTTGGGTTACTTTTTAACAATTATTTACTGATGGACTCTGCCTTTTGACCTTCTGTGTCAGCTGCATCCATAAGTTGGCATGTAGACACAATTTACTTTGAGTCAGTCATGACACTAAGAATTATTTAACTACCAAGGATGTGTTACAACAACAAGGGGCCTCATTGAAGCATTTTTATCTTTAGTTTCTGGGATGGCCACAACTGCCAAAAAAAAAAAAAAAAAAAAGTAGTGCAGTTGAAAACAAACTTTATGAACTGGTGATCATCGAATCATAGAAATGTGATGTGAAATCTTACTTCCAGGGAATGAATTAATACAAGAAGCCAAAAGAGTAATTCAGTTGTGTAGAAATATTTAAATAAAATTATGTGAAGAAACAAATGCAGTCATAATACTCTGAGATGGGGAGGAAAGGAGGGTGTGTGTGTGTGTGTGTTCAGATTGCTGGATACTCCCATTATAAAACCCTGTGTTCAGCTGCTTATAATTTTGCCAGACTAACCGTTCAAGCTGAGTTTTTCCATGCTGTGTGTCTGCCTCAGGCTGAAGCTTTGGAAAGTTTCAGCAAAAAGGTTCAGCAATTTTGGAGAATGAGGTTAAGGAAAAATAAATTTTTAGCCAACTTTGAAAAATTCTTACAATTATTTCCTGAGAAGCTGTAGTGCTTCTAGACTGTGGAGCAGGGACTTGATATCTGGCAGTGAGGTTGCCCTAGGTCAGGGAGGTTCCTTTTTGGCTATCCCTATTAAAATCTATCCAAATTGAGCCAGATTACATACCTGTGTAAATCACTGTTTGCACATGCTTGGTAGAGGTTTGTTAGAGGCTGGCAGCTAAATTTTCCAGACATTCTTTCTTTCTACACTGAGCATGCTCTATCTTCACAGAGTTCTATATGAGCCACGCTAACCACGTTCAGCCCTCATAGAGCTCACTGAGCATGCTCCAGCCCAGGACTGAACAAGCATTTTTGTGTGTGCAACTAGTGTGTCTGTTAGTCTGGCTCTGCTATGGTACCAGACACTAGAAATGAGGTCAGGAGACTCTCCTATACCTGTGCTGTCATGCTCCCCTTACTGTTGCCCAGGCATGTAAAGGGTAGAAGGAGGAACAGCCTACATTGACTGCAAAGAGGTGAGGATAAGAGTTGGGGATTCAGGAATGGTCTTGGGTGCATCTACTAACTTGAGAATGCTTGATTTTTCAACCTTAATGTTCTTCTAATGTGTTTTTAATGGAGAAACACATTTATTTAAGCTTTGGTTAGAAAGGTAGAAAGCAGATGTGGCTGAAAAGTTATGGCACTGAAACTCCTAATATTACAATGAAGCTGTCTTCAATAAAAGGTTGTACATGATTCAAATAT